ATCTTTGCCTTGCCTCCCCCTCCTCCCTCGCAGAGAACCAACAGCTGTTCTGAACAGCTGGTGGTTCCCTCTTGCCACCCTGTACCCTTGGTGGTGGGAGGAAACTTTGCACACTTCCTTTTCCCCTGCCCCCAAGTCAATTAGGGCTTGGGGGTGGAGGGAGTATGCAAAGTCTGTCCCCATCGTGCAAGGATGCACCATGCTTAGAGTCACCTGCCAGCTGAGCAGCAGCTGGAGGTTGACTAAGTGCCAAGCCCCTTTACAGCGCAGAAGGAGACTTCCCCTAGGCCAAACAGGGCCTAGGGGTGGAGGGAGGAGGATTGGCAGGACTTCTGCAGGCCGGATCAATTCACTAGTCAGGCTAAATCCAGCCCATGGAAGTCTTTTTGCCCAACCCTGGTAAAGAGGCTACATTCTCCTTTTGAAAACACAGATGAATATGATAAGGTTTCTTGTCATACTGTTCCATCAAGTGACCCATTCAAGTGAACTGCTGGATCCAACCCAGCAGCTGCAGCGTGGTGGTGGAAGCTGTGTGTAACCATGCACGTTAACTGAGGAGCCCCTGCCCTAGATCACAATCCTTTCCTTTGCCCAGATTCTTCTCAGACCCCACACTCTCTTCTGCACCCCAGTCTCCTAGCCCTAGCTCCCTTCTGCACCTAACCCCCTCCCACACCTATGCCTCTTCCATAGAAGAGTGCAGTCCTTGACCACTTGAAGTGGGCCCCCCCATCAAAAATTATCGCCTACCCTTGGTCAACACCTGCTCCCATGAAAAAAAAATTGCAGGACACTGAAGTTAGTGTAAAATACCCTGGCAAACTGTACTGCTGAACATATGAGACTACAAAGTTTTTAAACATTCCCTGTGATATTGATAGCACCAGAACTGGCTTTTGAGGCATACATTTTCTCACTGAAATAAATAAAAAAAGGACAGGATTGGTACATCAGTGCTGTCTGTGCAGTGAAGATCAGCAGCTGTAGCAAGTAAAAGGGATGGTTAAAACTCACTTCTAGTTGTTTTAAAGAGGGATTTGATCAGATATTCATGTAATCCACTGAACTAAATATATAAATGGTTCATATGAGCTCATTTTTTGGTTTAAATGTGTCTAGTTGGGGAAAATCTATGTACAATTTATGAATTCTGGTGGATGTTATGAAGTTATGAAATTGTGGTATCATAGAAAACCTCTAAAAGGATGTGCAATCCCCCATTTTCTGACACTGGCTGTAGCACATTTCTGCCAGACCAGGCACAACAGCCAGTTAATATAACTTAATGGCCATTTATTCAGATGGAAATACCTGGAGAGAGTTAGTTGGCTGTAAATGGAAGAAACTAGTTCTTCCAATTTCTGTGCAGGGACAAAGTAGAAACTTCTCATCAACAGAACTAAGAAATCAAGTGGTGACAAACTCAAGGAACTGAGTCACACAAGAAGCCTTAGACAGAACAGAGGGACATGCTTTCATAGTAGGTGCGACCAGTAGTGTGTAGAGAAATCAACCTGACCAAGGCAAGACTCCAAGATTATGAAGAGAAGCTGCTTGAGACTATTCCAGAGGACTATGTCAAAGCCCAAGAAACTTTCCAGAGTAGTGAGAAAACTGAGGCAGAGGAAATGCATATAGGTGTGTTAAGTGCTTTGCTTTTTTTTTTTTTTTTAATTAACAAAAAAAAAAATGCGCGGTTACTCCAGGGGAAAAGTTGTTGAGCTCTGACGGGAGGTGCCGGTACTGTGTACCAGGCAGCACTGCCACAAAAAAAACACTGGGTGTGTTTATTAGGGATGTAAAATCCTGTTTAATTTGTTAACTGGTTAAATGTTACATTTAACCAGTTAACTGATTAAACAGAGCTTAGCAGATGGGGACTGATCTGGCTAGACTGAAGTGCTCCTCTCTGCAGTGTGCCCTGGACCAGGCCCCTGTGGATGAGAGCAGCTCCAGCTGGGC